TCTTCATCTTTCTTGAAGTGGGGAGCCCAGAACTGGACAGAGTACTCCAGATGGGGCCTCACTAGGGCAGTGTAGGGGGGAAGGAGAACCTCCCTCGACCTGCTGGCCACACTCTTCTTGATGCACCCCAGGATCCCATTGTCTTTCTTGGCAGCCAGGGCACACTGCTGGCTCATAGTTAACCTGTCATCCACCAGTACACCCAGGTCCCTCTCCGCAGAGCTGCTCTCCAGCAGGTCCGCCCCAAGCCTGTACTGATGCATGGGGTTGTTTAGGCAATTATTCCTTAATACTTGTCTGTGAACATTTTCTTTTTAAACAAAATACACTTCACTGAATTCTAACTAAATGATCTCAGCATTTTTTTCAGCTTATCAGGATCATTTCAACTGTATTCCTGTCTTTAAAGTTTTTGAAATGTTCCTATCACTGGGTTTAAAAGCATACTCACTTTTTCAGCACAAGGGAGAATAATAATATCAAACTCAGACTTCATAATGATCATCTGAAGGATTCTAACTGATATTTCTTCTTGTCGTAGTAGAAAACTACTGATTCTTGTGAAGCAATTTTTCATTGACTTGTGCATTCAAAGTATATTAATTTAATAAAATCTATACCTTTTTTCTTTTTTCTATGGAACAACTTGAAAATATTTACTGTAGTCAGGATATACTGAATCTGTTGCTTCCCTTGCTTTTCAGGCTCGATTCCCTGTCAGAGAAGAAAGTTGTTTAGTTTTGAAGTTAATTCAGTTTGAAAATTTAAGTTGACTTTTTTGGTTATCTCATTCTCTGGTTGCTTAATGAAAGTTTTCAGCATTTTTCTTGGAATAGTATTATTTCAAAATTATTTCTATTGTTTTTAGATATGGAGAATTGATGGAACTATTGAGAGTCCACCTCGGTTAAAAGTTACTCACAAAACATTCGGCACACAGAACAGCAATTCAGACATGATATATTGTCGTTTGAGTATGCCCATTGAGTTCCGCTCATCTTTCAGCTTTGGCATGGGTGTGGAAAATGCCTCATCTGATGCTTTCCAAAAACGGTTAGGTTTGGTTTTAGTTATCCTATTTCATGCTTTCTGTGTAAATGTAATATGTTTTATGAATCTTTTTTATTGTACGCTCAAGATTTCATACTTGTTTTTACACTAAGCACACACTAGCATATGATGCATGTTAGTGAGATTTTTTTTTATTCTTGACGGTTTTAAAAAATTTATAACACAACTTTGCTGCAGAATGCTGTATTCAGACAAGAGAGTATCGTTTCTGAACAGGTGCATTACAAGGTTTATTGTTACACATTGCTAAGCAGCTGCCATCCTTTCAAAATCATCGGGATTTGCAATGCTCTTCAGTTGGGCTGGAAAACCAACTCAGAATCTTTTGTCCACTGGATTAATGCTCACCTACATTATTGTTCAATAGCTCATTGTTGTTGGAAAAGTGACTAATCCATGCAAAGAAAAAAGGACTATGGGACAGATTTTTAAAGACAACAGGTGCTAGTGAGTTCAGCACCTTCCAGCATTGCCTTCATTTTTAGTTGATTGCTGTAAATCTCTCTCTTCCCTTGCTCTCTGCCGTAACTGCAATTAATTATATTGGGTGTATATTTGTATCCTATACAGTCTTTGCTTGTATCCTGTACAGTCTTTGCATACTTACTTTACTCATGCATACTCAGTACACAGCAAACATGAGTTAGCTTGTAAGTACACTTAGCTTAATAATGAGTACTTTTAAAACTGTTTTTCTTTTTTTTAACTAATTTACTGATGTTCCTTTATCTTTAGAAAGCACAGCCAAGAAATTGCTGCTCCTTCTACTACAGTAAGTAAATACGTTGAGATGCTTAGTAATTCTTACTTTTTTAGGTAGATGTAGTTGTGGCAGCACGTTCATTTGATGTTTACCTGTTGAAAAAAGCCTTTTTAATCATTTACTGTGATACAATACTGTTTTTTCAATGTATGAGCATTTTAAAGTACTTATTAAGAGAACATGAATTACTATTATTGAAGTTTGATATTTGAGGGGTTTTCAACCCCTATTTGAGTATTCCTTGATAAAATAATTTAGATTTCTATTACTAATATGTTCTTTTCCTCTTTTCAGTATTTTTATTCACTACGGATATTTGCTGGCCAAGACGCGTCCTCTGTCTGGGTTGGTTGGGTAACACCAGACTATCATTTTTATAGTGAGAATTTTGACCTAAATAAAAATTGTACGGTGACAGTTACTTTAGGTGATGAAAGAGGCAGGGTTCATGAAAGGTATGGATTTATTTATCACTTATTAAAGATTGTGCTTTGATACTGCTGTTCAAAAGTGACTTATTCACAAGCTTGATGATATTTTAAATGTGAATTTAAGCTAATAAGAAAATTTACTATGGACTAGGAATGTTCTGTGCTCATTTATATATGAGTGTGTTTTACATAGACTTGTTAAAGTGAGTATGTTTATCATTAATGTCCTGTTTGAAAGAATGTTTTGTGATGCTTCTTTCTTTTAACTGCCATATTTGGTCACTGTGGATGAACTTGTTACTTGTTTTAATATATCTTATGTAAACACACAAAAACATGTGAAATTGTTTCATAATTATAAAAAAGGGGAAAAAATAAAGGTGCACTTAGTGCAATGCCTTACCCAGGATGATTACATTATTAAAAAAAAAAAAGGGGGTGGTTAATGAGAAAGACGTCACTTTCAGTGTGAACCTATGATTTGGTTTTTTTTGTTCTTGATGTTTTTCAGTGTGAAGCGTAGCAATTGCTATATGGTTTGGGGAGGAGATGTAATTGCTAATTCCCAGAGATCAGGTCGCAGTAATGTTGATTTAGAAATTGGATGCTTTGTTGACCTGGCTACTGGAATGTTGTCATTCACAGCCAATGGAAAAGAGCTTGGCACTTGCTACCAGGTATTATCAGATTTTCAGGAAGCTGTCTAGAAAGTTGGTCATATTGATGCTATTATAAAATTGTTTTTTCTTGTTCAGAAATCTAACTGAACAGCATTCATGTGACAATAACATGTTTTCCTATATTATTCTGTTTTATCCCTCTTTTTCTCTCTCTCTCTTTTGTAAGGCTGCATTTGTCCAACTTCTTACAGTTGTTTCAAATGTTGAGGAAGGGCTTTTGGTAGATACGTTCAGAAAAAGATTTTTTTTAGCTCTCAATTCTTGTGGTTCAGAATCTTGATTTATAACATTATTCCTTAAAATATTTTTGTCAACTAAATCTGTTATATGGTATAGGGGAAATAGTTATTTAAATTAGCATAAGGTCAAAATTAGACGTTAGGTATAGTAATTTTTGGTATGGATTGAGAAAATAGATTTAGTTTATTGTTACAAGGGTTTGTGTCTTCCACAGATAGCTATGATTTGGAGGTCTTGTGGTCTGATAAGTTTCAAAACCCAAAAGTCAAAGATGCATTAATGTGCAAAGCCGTAATAAATGGGGTGGGCCCTAAATGCTATTAATGTTCTTGAGACATGGAGTCATTATGTGAATGGATTAGTATTTGGCAGAAGTTTTCAGCACTGGATTGATGAGATTTGCTCTTACTAAGATCAGTTGTCCATAGCAGAGCATCCACTTTTTCCAGTAATTTAAACATTTTCTCTATTTTTGAAAATAGTAAAAATAGTCTTAAATAGCTTTCATTTTCATTTCTTGAATATTTTTACCATAAAATAAAATCTTTAAATTACTTCAGCAAATCTAATCTCTCACCCAAATTGCAGCAAATGACTGGTATTTGTCTGGTCTAGATGCAGCAGGATATTATTCTAACTTTGTAACCGTTTGCATTTTTCAATTTTCTTAACTGAAGTAGAGGGACAATATTTGTATGCTGTTTTCATTCTAAAAGGTCTACGGGTCAATATATTGAGGAGAAGAAATGAATTTTGCTGTAGTTCTTGGTCTAACTACTGAATGTCATGGTGATATTCAGAAAAAATCACACTGTCTATAATAGAAAAATAAATTAAAGATAGTGTATACATATATATTTGAGATTTTGTCATTAATTGTCAGGCCAGTGTTAAGGTCTTCATAGCAGAAAGGAGATATTAAATATTGGTTTATAAGACTTTTTGTTTTATTCTGAGTTAGTAATGGTTTTCCGACCTTCAAACCAGATTAGAAATTACAAATTATATTATTATTACTAGGAAACATCTACCTTTTGTCAGAGGCTGACAGTTATATTGTCTTAGTCAGTTACTTTCAGGCTTTATTGAAATAAGACACATTTTATTAGTAGCGTCTTTCAGTCCAGGATACCTTTTGTTTCTAGAATTGGGTTTGTGGGTTTTTTTCCTTATTGAAGAGATTAGAATGTATGTACCTGGCCCTACATTATTTTGTCTATCCCAATAGTCATAGTTCTGAAAATAACTTTATTCTGCATACAGATTTTTCAGTATATGGTATTATTTTACAATTTGTTTAAGTTATATTGTGTTTTGGAATGTTTTTTCTCATCTACAAGAATATGGAATTTTTTGTTCTTTTTTGTGACTCAGTTTATTTCGCAATTTTTTATAGTTTGCTGTCCTACGAGTTAGGAGATTCACTCCTTCATGGCATGAGTATTGTAATTGCATTTAGTATATATAATGTATATACTTGGTAAACAAAATGCACGATAGTGTGATTAAAATGTTTAATTGAGGTCCTGAAATCTTGAATTGATTATGTAGAGTGTATCTTTTTTTAGCCACCCTGGAGCACTGAAATCTTTTTAATAATATACTATTCTGTAAATATATTTTAATTTTTTTTTCATGGCAGTAGGGGTGGGTGATCTTGTAGAGAATTCACTGGAATAAACTAGTATTACTACTCTGAAATGTACTTTGAGTCCAGCATGGAGAAATGAGGATAATGCAGCTGTCAAAAAAATCCCAGACTGAACCAGACACTTTAAAACTGCAACACTGTGATTCAGTGTGATTCACAGTGATTTTTTAAGACTGGAGACAAATACTAAGCCTAGAAATAGAGATGCTTCAGATCTTTAAAAAAAATATGTTCTACTTTTGGAGCATGGATCAGAAATTCACTAGTCTTAATAGGAAAAAAGGATTTGCACTATCGTGATCAAATGGTGTGCACTTACCCCCTTCTTATCCCCTTCTGATTCCCTCTCTCTTAGAAATTTCTTTTTGAGCTTTCTTGGTAGTGAAATATTTTGTCCAGCATAAAATGTGAAAGAACTCTAAAAGATGTGTGGTGGTCAAAAAGCTGAATTTTACCCTCAGTCTGTGTAGGAGATGTTTTTCCTAGAGCAAGAGACAAAGTATGTTGCTGTGAAGTGGCTGGAGTTTTGATTAGCTGCTCAAGAATGAGGTGTTGGATTTGCATATGTTTGAGAAGAATCAACACATAGTGTTACCAAGGTTCTTGTTATAGTTGTTGAGAGCACGTAAGGCAGCAGACACACCTGCCTGAAACTTAGGTGGGCCGAGAAAGAGAATTCAGCAAATGCTTTACACTATATTAGAGGTAAACAATGCGTAGACACTAATCAACACTTTAATACAGTGTCTGTAGTTATTTGATAATGAAGTGTAAGCTATATAGTATTTATTTTATATCATATCATATGTATTCTGGGAGAAGATTCTTGACGCTTTTTTAATATTTAAAGTTTTTTACTCTCATCTCTCTTCTAGGTTGAACCAAACACAAAACTTTTTCCAGCAACTTTTGTACAGCCTACAAGCACTAACTTGATTCAGTTTGAACTTGGTAAATTAAAGGTACAAAATATTTTGTGTAAAGGTGCTCTTTTAACTCTGTATATTTCCGTGGAAATTCCTGCTCAGTTGAATTTATTTAGGAGGATTGAATCAATGGCGTGACATTTTATTTGACTTCTACGTTTACTTCTGTAGATGTAATTATTATATGAAATTAATTGTTTAACAAATCTAAACTGCATCTGTCAAAATAAACTAAAGTTATTTGGGGAGAACACCCTTAATGTTGGGGATTTTTTAATAGATTTTGTTTATTGCAATAACATATAGTTCTGTGACTTCTTTGCTATCAATAAATTCTATTTCCTTTTGGTGTTATAGATTTATTTATAATCAGATGTTACAAAAATAATTTCAATACACTTATTTCTTTCAGAATACCATGCCTTTATCAGCAGCAATTTTTAAAAGTGAAGAAAGAAATCCTGTTCCTCAGTGTCCTCCTCGCCTTGATGTGCAAACCATTACACCTGTTTTATGGAGCAGGATGCCAAACAGCTTTCTAAAAGTAGAAACTGAGCGTGTCAGTGAACGTCATGGCTGGGTTGTGCAATGTTTGGAGCCTCTGCAGATGATGGCACTTCATATCCCAGAGGAAAACAGGTACATTTGGAAGGAACTGCAGTGACTTGATGTGGACAAAATGTGTTGAAAGCTGATATCTGGGTATTGGTTAAACCTGCCATGGAGAATATTTACACTAGAGTTGTTTAGAATTTCTAATGTTATCTGCTATAATATCATATTCATGAAATATAAGTAGATACGACATTGGCATACACAAGAGAAAACACGACTATTTGATTTTATTTAAATTATAAAATAATATTTCTTAAATGTCTGGATCTTTAAACACAGAGATTTTCTCAGCTTCAAAAAAACAAATACAAACATGTAAGTACTATTTTTTCTGAAATAACAACATGTAATCTGTTCCTGTTTCATCTGCTCTGAATTTACATGAATTAAGTTTCTGTGTTCTTATTCACAAGATCCTGGCTTTCTTAGATTTTTCACTAGATTTTATCTTCAGAGTGAGGACAATAAAGATGTATCCAAATATCAAATACTATAACCAGTGACAAATCAAACTATAAGCAAAAGTGTAACAGAAAGATAATGTAACTCCTGTACTTCTACAATTTATTTTGCAGCTTCTTTTAGTAATTCAATAACTAATTTCATTTATTGTTAATAAAACTGGATTCAGGAAAAGGGCAAAAAATACTGTGTTTTGTTGAAAAAATGAAACTGTACTGCTTCAATAATCTATAAAGGCATTGTTTAGTGACAGTATTACTGCAAAATTTCAGCATGCCAAATACATCTCTTTTTAAAGCAAGCTCTAATTTACCATAGCTTCCAAAGAATCTTCCTTTTTTTTTTTCCTATGGAGCGCTAATTCTAAATAATCTCATCCAATTATTACCACCATTTACTGTGGTTTAGTGATGCACATGTTAAGATTAGTATCAACCTTAATAGATTAAAGTGGAAATGACCAAAATATGCAGAGATTATAAAACTTGTCTTTTACAAAATCATTATTATTTGTGATATTGACTGGTGTTCTGTTTCTTTATTTCGTAACAGATGCGTTGATATTTTGGAACTATGTGAACAAGAAGATTTGATGAAGTTTCACTACCACACTTTAAAACTCTATAGCTCAGTTAGTGCTCTAGGTAACACTAGAGTTGCTTATGCACTTTGTAGCCATGTGGATGTATCTCAGCTATTTTATACTATAGATAATCGATACTTACCTGGACTCCTACGTTCTGGATTCTATGACTTGCTGATTAGTATTCATTTGGAGCATGCCAAGCAAGCCAAGCTCATGATGAACAATGAATTTATCATTCCGGTTACAGATGAAACTCGAACTATTAAATTATATCCTGATGAAACAAAGAAGCATGGTTTACCTGGAGTAGGGCTTAGCACTTGCCTGAAACCAGGCTTTAATTTTTCTACTCCATGCTTTATTGTGACCAGTGAAGAACGACAGACATCCAGCCCAGAGATACCCCTTGATATACTTAAATCCAAGGCCATAAGTATGCTAACAGAGGCAGTACAGTGTAGTGGTACTCATATACGAGACCCTGTTGGAGGACAGGTTGCGTTCCAGTTCGTTCCTGTTCTTAAACTTATAGCAACATTGCTCATAATGGGGGTTTTTGATGATGATAATGTGAAGCAGGTGTTACTCCTCATCGACCCCAACGTGTTTGGAGATCACAAGGAAGAAACAGAAGAGAGGACAGAGAAGGAAGAAGTTACACAAGTTGAAGAAAAAGCTGTAGAAGCTGGGGAAAAAGCAATAAGAGAAACAAAAGCTCCTGCAAAGGGCTTATTGCAGACAAGATTACCAGAATCTGTTAAGCTTCAGGTGACCACTTAATATAAATGTATTATGTATGTTCTACTATTGATGAAAGAAAGGTAGTGCTTTTTGTCTGTTCTCTAATTTGTAAGATTTGAAATCCTGAAGATCCTTATTGCACTTTGCCTTATAACCTCACATTTAATAATAAAATTTGATGATGATGCAATTCTTTCTACATGTATCTGTACTCAAAATAGATATGCAAATACTTACTTACTTCATAGGTGTATTTTAAAAGAGGGAGGGTTGGACTAGGTAAGCTTTAAAGGACCCTTCCAACCCAAACTGTTGTGTGGTTCTATGATTTCTACATGTTTTGATTGCATGAGTGAAAGAATGTGAATGCAATATAGTATTCTTGATCATATTTTTTTAATTGATAATAAAACTGTATAAATTTGTCACCTTTACCATGTTAAAAGAAAGATATGGAAAAAAGTCTCTCATTTTTACAGTCTGTTGAACTGTATAGTATCCACTGCAGTTCTTCCCCAATTAGAGTCTGTTAAACTGTTAACTCTGTTTTTTCTATCCTAGATGTGCCATTTACTCAATTATTTCTGTGACTGTGAGCTGCAACATAGAGTGGAAGCAATTGTATCATTTGCAGACTGTTATGTATCAAAATTGCAATATAATCAGAAATACAGGTACAATGAACTCATGCAAGCCTTGAACATGTCTGCTGCTTTGACTGCCAAGAAGACTAAAGAATTTCGTTCTCCTCCTCAAGAACAGGTAATATTAAACAAATGTTTGAGTCTAAAGATAAAGAAGAATCTTTGTGATGATAAAATTAAGAGTTCTGACTTCTAAACTAGCATCAGAACTGCTTATTGAATTTGAAATAAAATTTATTAAGATTCCACAGAATACTGGGTGTCAGAATGCTTATACCTGTACAGCAGAATTCAAGCTCTAAACCAAAGTTCACCTAGGATTTCTCAACAGTATAGAAAAATTGAACATTACTGCCCAGTACTGAGAGGCTGAGATTCATCCAATTCTGCAAGATTATGATAATTTGATAATTTTAGTTGTTAAAAGTTAGCATGAAGTTAGTGTTGTGATGACATCTATGTGTTGGAAATAGTCTTTTCTATCTCCAGGAAATAGCTTTATTATTAAGTGTAACTGCATTTTGGTGTTAATCGTAATTAAAGCTTACAAAGTACCATTGTTTTATTATTTCCTTTAAGCTGTATTAGAAATCTATAGCTTATGTTAATATGATTATAAATTTGTTTATAAACCGGTAAAGTGTGGCTCTGTGTTTGAATATGTCTTAGGCTAGCTCAGTGTTTTAGCTATGTTTTAATTCCCTTAAAGATTAATATGTTGCTGAATTTTCAACTGGGAGAGGATTGTCCCTGTCCAGAGGAGATTCGAGATGAGTTGTATGAATTTCATGATGATCTTCTAATTCACTGTGGTGAGTGCTAAGCTTATGTTACATTTGTGTTTGTCTTTTTGACACTTTACATGAAAAAGAACAGATCAGTTAAAAAAAAATACTAGTATGAGGGGTTTTTTTTACATGTATTGCTGCCTACGTGGTGACTTTCCTGACAGACTTTGGTGCATATTACAAAAATACAGGAAACCTACGCATGGTTTTAAATTTCCCTCTTAAATATCTATCAAATCTGGTATTATTCTGTTTATATATCAATTTTAGACTCAACTAGAAAAAATAAAAATGATCCAAACAGGAAGGTTGAATTACCTTAAAAGATTTGTATTGGCATGTGTATGTGTACAGGCAGATAAAATGTATTTAAAGAATATTCTTGCTGTGAAGTTGAGCAGTAGAAAATTTAATGAAAAACACTAGGTGAGGGATGCTGCTGCTGCTTTAGCTTAGTTTCCTGGTGTATACCTAACTGTGATGGTCAATCACTATAAAACACTGTTGCACTAGAGATTACAACTTGAGTTGCCCCAGTCATTGAATTTGAATTTCCTTAGGGTATCAGCAAGGGTGAGCTATATCAGATAGCCTGTGCAATTGATGTGGGTTCAGGAAACATATTTTATATGTGATGTCAAAAATTTTTTGTTAGTCTATTGAGATCTTAGTCTAATCAAGACAATCATGGAATTATTAGTCCATTTACAATGATACGAACATTTATAGGCTGAGTCATCCAGTTATTACTGCTTATTCCCAATAATTAGCAGTTAAAACTGATATACAAAAGCTTTTTCATATCTACCTACTTGGTCAATATATTGGTAGTAACTCTTCCAGTGCATTTCTTGGTCCTGTGGTTGATGGCACCCATCTTGTTCGAGAAGAAGGTGACAGGGTCGTTACAGTGAATTGACATTATCTCAGGTTCTTCCCCAGGAAGAACATAGTAATCTTAACAGTTTCTTCTTCCTCCTCCTCCTCCTGTTTGCTTGAGGTTGCTTTTAAATGTTTACTAATAAAGTCTGCTCATTCTTTCTTCACTGGTTATCCCTAAAACCAATTTTACCCAGTTCATGGAATTACATTCTTTTAGTGATCTGTAATTAACAGTTTGTGATTTCTGTTTGTATCCATGGTGCCTGCCATACCATTCACAAGGGTGTGTAGTGATAGGACAAGGGGGAATTGATGTAAACTAAAAGAGGGCAGATTTAGATTAGACATTAGGAAGAAATTCTTCACCATGAGGGTGGTGAAACACTGGAACAGTTTGCCCAGAGAAGCTGTGACTGCCCCCTCCCTGGAAGTGTTGGATGGAGCTCTGAGCAATGTGGTCTAGTGGAAGATGTCCCTGCTCATGGCAGGGTGGTTGGAACCAGATGGTCTTTAAGGTCCCTTCCAACCATTACCATTCTAAGATTCTGTGCTTGTACTGCTAGGAAACTCCCTAGTCTGGTGCGACCCTCTGATTATTACCCGCTGTTGGTTATGCAGGTTGGCAGTGGTGAGATTGCAGAGAAGTCCCAACACCATCAAAAGGGACTTCAGGGCACTGGGGCGATTGGTTGAAGGATCAGGGGCACAGGTAGTGTTTTCTGCAGTCCCGTCAGTGGCAGGGAAGAATACTGAAAGGGACAGGAAAACTCACCTGATTAACAGGTGGCTCTGAGGCTGGTGCCATTAGTGGAATTTTGGTTTCTATGATCAAGGGGAGGTTTATATGGCACTGGGCCTGCTGGTGACAGATGGAGTCCAGCTGTCTCAAAGGAGGAAAAGGATTCTTGCACATGAGTTGGCGGGGCTCATCGAGAGGGCTTTAAACTGGGTTTGAATGGGGAAGGGGATATAACCAGGCTCACTAGAGACGAGCCCAGGCATGGCATGCCAGTGTCAGGGGTGAGATCAATAGCCTAGCTCAAGTGTATCTACACCAATGCATGCAGCATGGGCAACAAACAGGAGGAGCTGGAAGCCATTGTGCAGCAGGACAGCTGCCATCCCAGAAACATGGTGGGTTGACTCTTATGACTGGAGTGTTGTGATGGATTGCTATAAGCTCTTCAGAAGGGATAGGTGAAGAAAGAGAGGAGGTGGGGTGGCTCTGTATGTTAGGGATGGTTTAGATTGTATAGAGCTCAATGATTGTGATGACAAGGTCAAGTGCTTATCGGTAAAGTTGAGGGGGAAAGCCAGCAAGGCAGATATCCTGCTGGGAGTCTGTTATAGACCACCCAACCAGGAGGAAGAGGCAGATGAAGTTTTCTATGAGCTGACAGAAGTCTCACAGTCGCTAGCCCTTCTTCTCGTGGGGGACTTTAACTTACCAGACATCTGCTGGAAATACAGCACAGCAGAGAGGAAACAGTCTACAAGGTTTCCGGAGTGTGTGGAAGATAACTTCCTAATGCAGCTGGTAAGTGAGCCTCCCAGAGGAGGTGCCTCGGTAGACCTGCTGTTTACTAACAGAGAAGAACTGGTGGGAGATGTGGTGGTCGGAGACTGTCTTGGGCTTAGCGACCATGAAATGATAGAATTCTTGATTCATGATGAAGTAAAGAGGGGGGTCAGCAAAACCACCACCATGGACTTTTGAAGGGCATGCTTTTGCATGTTCAGGACACTGTTTGAGAGAGTCCTGAAGGGCAAAGGAGTCCGGGAAGGCTGGACATTGTTCAATAAGGAAGTCTTAAAGGCACAGGAGCAGGCTGTCCCCATGACTGGCCTGGCTGAACAGGGAGCTCTTGCTGGGACTCAGGAAAAAAGGAGGGCTTACCACTTATGGAAGAAAGGGCAGGCAACTTGGGAGGAGTACAGGGGTCTCATTAGGTCGTGCAGAGAGTAAATTAGAAAGGCAAAAGCCCAGCTAGAACTCAGTCTGGACACTATTGTAAGGGACAACAAAAAATGCTTTTACAAATACATTAACAACAAAAAGAGGGCCAAGGAGAGTCTCCATCCTTTATTGGATGCGAGGGGTAATATTGTCAACAAGGATGAAGAAAAGGCTGAGGAACTTAATGCCTTCTTTGCCTCAGTCTTTAATAGTCAGACTAGTTATTCCCAGGATAGTCAGCCCCCAGTGCTGGAAGGTAGGGTAGAAGTAGGGAACAGACCTCCCATAATCCAGGAGGAAGCAGTTAATGACCTGCTATGCCATCTGGACACTTACAAGTCTGTGGGGCCAGATGGGATCCACCCAAGAGTGCTGAGGGAACTGGTGGAGGAGCTGGCCAAGCCACTCTTCATCATCTATCTGCAGTCCTGGTTAGCAGTGGAGGTCCCGGACGACTGGAGGCTTGCCAGTGTAACGCCTATCTACAAGAAGGGCTGGAAGGAGAATCCTGGGAACTACAGGCCTCTCAGCCTGACCTTGGTGCCGGGCAAGATTATGGAGTGATTCACCTGGAGTGCGCTCACCGGGCATGTGAGGGACAGTGAGGGGTTCAGCCCAGCCAGCATGGGTTCATGAAAGGCAGGTCCTGCTTGGCCAACCTGATCTCCTTCTGTGACCACGTAATCCACCTAATGGATGCGGGAAACGCGGTGGACGTTGTCTACCTGGACTTACTAAGGCCTTCAACACTGTTCCCCACAGCATCCTCCTGGAGAAACTAGCTGCCCATGGTTTTGATGGGTGTACACTTCACTGGATAAAGAACTGGCTGAATGGC